GGCAGGGCAAAGTGAAGCCCCAAATTTATCTTTCTCACTATGGTTTCCATTCAACACTCTCCCTTAGACACCAACAACATGTATGGTTTAAACCACACTGCCAGTAGGTAAGTAAGAGATCATTTTTGCCCTTTATTGTCACGCCAACATGTGTGTTTCATAACTATCACTTTGGCACTGCTGTAGAATACAGACAGGAGACAGAAGAGCACATCATAGGGCTGTGGCAATTGTCCATGAATACCGAGAATTCCTGGACTAAAGAAATGATAATAACGAAAACCAGGAAAGAAAACACACGCCAAGGAGACTGGGAAGAAGAATCAACAAAGACAAGACCAGGGATGGGAAGCAATTTCTGTGGCAGGATGCACCATCCAGTCATGGCCCCAGTCTCTCTGCAGGATGAGCAGGAGACAGTAAATCATGCCGACACTTAAAGCACTGGTAAAGGAGAAAGAAGAGTACAAAGAACAACATATAAGACGAAGCAGAGAGAAAACCAAATGCTCTTAGGAAACTTACTGGATTCCTTGTGCCAGTTCAAACTGGAAAACCACAAACACAAGTAAGAAAGAAGAAACACTGTCCGACTAGAATAGAATTTTATGGCCCTAATTACTCCTAAATTCTGGAGTACCCAAGTAAGAAAAACAGATTGAACCAAGGCAATGTCAACTGTGAAGATCTCAGCCTGAAGTGTCACCACATTTAGTACTTTACAATCTCTGATAACCATCACAGGAAGGATTCATTTATTCGGAAAATAGCCAGAGAAGGTTAAGATTACAAATAATGAATTACTAAAGGAAAAAATGTATTTTTTTTAAATAAAGTTCACCAAGTTGCCACTAATACCATTAAGTCCGAGACTGAGATAGTACTGCTACTTTCCCCTAAGTAAGGAAGGTAGTATTCCTCCTTCAGTAACTGAAGTCATTGCTTTCTGAAATATTAGCCTCTATACTCACTACTAATCATTCTGTGGGAGAAAAGATGAGGTTTTCTGCTCCCGTAAAGATGTACAGCCTCAGAAACCCTGTCAGGTTCATTATGAGTCTCAACCAACACCACAGCACATAACCACCACCACCATACTCACTTTGATCAGCACTTTGCTTCTTGGGTTGCAAGCCATATCCCATGTCCACAAGTACATGGTCAAAGGGTTTTCCTAGAGAATGATTAAGAAAATATCAAAGGATTACAGGAAAAGCATAAATAAAGAACAAATGAGTCCCAATTATAAGGTTCAGCAAACATAACTGTTACTGTATAGACATACTTCTTACCAGTTTAGCTTCTATGCATAAAGTATCACTGAATAGTGCACAGTTTTAGAAAACAAAGCAAAATTCCCATCATTACTTGATAGACATTTTACCCAACAGGCTTCACTTCAAAAGTCTGAACACATGTGTGCTTCAGTTACCACCTCCCAGGCATGCCTAGGACGACTGCCACTGACCAGAAGAAATAAACCGAAGACAAAGACCACGTCTTCCCAGACACGCGCATGGCTGAAGTGTGGAACAGCATGAGCACGGAATTCACACTCTCTGAAAGAATCCCCACAAGTTTGAGTCCTATCAATGAAATGTTCATAGTAGAGAAACAAACAGATTTTATACTTACATTTCACAACAGGATCAACTATTTTTTCAACCAAGTGACCCCACACACCAGGCCACTAAAAGAAGACAGGTGATCACTTAGAAATATAAAGGTAATAATAAAACTGTTAAGACATTACTCTTCAAATGGGTCTGAAACCAGATGGATGAACATGACCCCAGAGTGTTTCCACAACGTAAATCTGATGTACCTAAGTATCAGTACTAACCAAAAGCAGTTCTATAAAGGTTGACCATAAAGCACTGGTCAAAAATGAACAGACAGGAACAAACAAGATGGCAGATCGGGTGGACGTGTAGTAAAATGCTCCACCAGCAACAACACAGAATAGCCGACCAAGCAGTCTCAGGGGATGGTCCCAGAACTCTGAACCACATATAGAGGAATATTTAGAAGGTTGGAAGGCTTACAGCTAGGGAATTTGTGGCAGAAGCAAGAAATCTATTGCTTTCTAGTCCGGGACGCTCAGCTGCTCCAGGAGCCGCCATCTTGGGTGAGACCAAGTGGGGGAAGGATCGGAGTGGCCACAGATGCCTGGCAGAACCACAGAGATAAAGGTGTGGACATTCTTTTCTTTTAGTAGCTGTTCATTGGTCCCTTGCTG